TGTACTTTCACAGCTAATGTGAGCCTACAACCAAAGTCAATGATTCTCATTATGAGAAAAGATAAGATCCCGACTGTCAGTCTGGCGGCTTCAATAGAACAACAACTCCGAAAATGAATGTGGTGCCGATATCGGGGTTTCAATCCACAGTTTGACTGTTATTGTAGAGAAAGTTACACGAAACCCCACAATATTCACGCACAGTTACGCTTTGATTCAGAGGGGCACGGAAACGCAACTGTGTGGCTATTTTCCACAAGGAGAAGCCTCCAATTTCTCAGCTATTCCAGTACACCAACCTCAAACGGAGACAAAGGCAAGCAGGGTGCAGAACAATAGCTAAATTGAGATATCGACTGAACCAGCCGGTTATTAATGAAATATCTAGTGTCTCAATTTTTTTAAGAGTTGCCTCAAGAAATACACTGTGCAAATACAATAATTTGTTTTTCAGTCTGTGGTCCCTCCTACCTACTACTGAATCAGATGGCATAATAGTCCACCAAGGACATGGTGGCAGTGCCTAAAAATCTCCCCCCAACTTGTTTGAGATTCTGAGCTGTGTGACCTAGAATATGTTTGACAATCTTATTTTAATTAGGCCTTGAAGACACGACTCATTCCAACTGCTGTCCCGGGAGCTAAATTAATTACTGAGACAAAGCCCATTCTGGCTCATGGCAAAGATGAATCACTGCAGTATTTGGGAAATGAGCAATGCTCTTCATTCAAGGGCTGATGAAAGAGACTCGGGCTCTAAAATGTAAGCTAATGTACTTCATCACAAAGCCTCCATGAGGCTCCATGAGCCACATCATGCATCTACAGCACACACTGGCATCTGCTGTCTCCACTTTCAGGAAATCCTGATGATTCTATTCGGTGGAACATTGCTTGGAAAAACATATCATGAAAAGATAAACTGGGATTGCTCAAAAGTGGATCGTAATCAGTTTTGTACATGAAGTCCTCTCTCTCCCTCTCTACTCATTACTTTCCGTTGTTACTTCTTTGTTTTCACTCTCGGTTGTCCAAATATCGTGCCTCCCTGGGGGAAGCACAGATAACTCATCTCAGCTCAGTTACGTTGTGCAGGCCATCAGCCAGCAGATGTACCCTCACCCACTGCCAGCAATCAGACCATCCATTCAGCTGCGTGACAGTATCATTTGTCATCCTGTATAAAAGGCTGTTTGTGAGTTATGGCTAATTAAACTAATCCCAACACAGAGAGTTGTTCCAGAGTTCAGACCCCACAAAGAAAAAGATTAGAGGGTCAACTGGCACAGAGGGATTATAGTCACGTTCAGAAACACCTCAATATATCCAGCTTACAGTTAAATGAAAAAAAAAAAAAAAAAAAAAAATCAGTATTTGATTCCTAACAGAGCAGTACATTTTCCCAAAGAGACACATGAATAACTATGATTGGTGTTGAGGGTTGGATCATTGGATGAATTCTGTTCCAAAGAGATTTATGAGAATACAAATATGATTTTCAAACAGCTGCTGGTAACAGTCAAATATATTCAGAACACATGAAAACTAAGAAACAATCAAAAATAAAAAAGTTAAAGACAAAGTGTATCAAAAAGAATACATAAAATACAAGTCCATACGTGAGTACGTCATTGTCAACCAGCAGCGTTAATATATGAAACAAATAAAAACAGAAATCGGAAATCATGCATGGGTTGCATTAGCACTTTATCCAACAAGTTGGAAATCTGTTCAGCGTGCAACGTGTGCATTTATGACACTTGGGCATGAAAACTAACAACTGCTTTCAAATGCTTTTTTTTTCCAATATTGAATCACCCACTGATACTTTAATCACAGCATGTGCATAACTTACTTGTGTTACATTATCAGAAAAAGGAGCATGCAGCAACTCAAACAGAAACAAAACATCAATAAGAAAATGACATTGTTTTTCTAACTGTGTTGTTCTGTGAAGTACTTATTAAAACATATAAATGGTAATTATATTATCTCAGAGGTATTTTTTCATTGTCATTTTAACTGATAGTAAAAAAAAAAAAATCATCTATTTTACCCATCAGTTTGCAAAACGATGACATATCAATTGCATTTAATTTTCATTCAGTTTAACTATTTAGTCTGAAAAAGATGAAGAACCCTTCACACATCAAGCAGATAAAAGCTTGTAGCTTTTTCTATGAAGTGACAAAAACCAGACTGTGGGTCTACTAACTTTATATAATTAAAAACACTTAGTATTGCACCTAGATTATTAATGATTCACCACATCTGTATTTTTTATTTTATTCATTTATTTTTTTTTACATTTCCAACATATACAAGATTTTAGTTTTGCTGAGCTTGAAACAGAGCTGGTTGCTTTCAAACCAATTTACTTGGTTAATTTCTGAATTGACTGCAACTACAAGTTATTCAAATGTCTCCCAGAATGAAAATGTTGTGTTTAAATAATAGAACTCACAAACACAGTAGTACAGCTTTGTTAGTTGAATGCAGGAATATAACCTGTGAATGTAGAAAGAAAAAAAAAAGCAACCAAACAAACCTTTGATGGTCATGCTGGTTCAAATAACTAATGAAATTCTGTAATATCTCACTTACTTGCCATGGTTTTATCTTTAAAATGTGAATCCAAGCATTTAAAATACTTTATAGGTCCAAGTTAACACAGTTTGATTGATCCATGGGTATGGATGTTTATGTATTGAATCAGTTAAGATTTATAATCCACATAAATACTATTAAATGATGATGTATCTTTTTTTTTATATGTGCTGTTGAGAAAAGCTGACTGCAAGGGACAAAATGTAGAAAACTGTTATAAAAATTTCTCTCCAGCGGAGTATTTAAAACTTACTGAAAGGGAGAGTTCCTTTTGTCCTCTGCAGCATATGTGTAGGTGTCTCTATATGTTATGAAGAGAGATTAACTCTGCAGCACCACATAGACGCAATGCGGGTTAGGCTCAGAGTTCACAATTCCTCCCTTGCAGAGTCACATACATCATGTCACAACAACAACATAACCCCAAACGGCTTCTGCTTCTTTTTTTGTTTGTTTTTGTGAGATCACACGAATGTTCCATTTTTCACAATCTCAGATTCACGTCCCTACAAAGATACACCGCTGATGCAATTAGCTGCAGGAGATTGAGCTAGAAATTTTACTACTCATTTTAACTCTTATAAATATTTCATGCGGCTATTAATCCATGCTAGCTTTAATCCTGATTAAAGCTAGCATGCACTATAGTGAAACACTCTCGGACACAAATGAGATCTGTAAATATGTGCATATCCAACACCTGAAATTATTCTACAAAGAAAGGAGACCTTTAAATGGCACATAGCAGTGGTCAAACTTAAAGCGATGATTTCTTTTATAAGACGTAACGGAGCAAAAGGTCATTTCAACATGTCTCAGTGTGACGAAAATGATTTAAACAAGGATTTATCTTCCTCATGCATTTCTCCACCCATTTGCATTAGAGCATTAATGTCAGTAAATCAATGATGATCACCTGTTACTGTGATGATTATCATACTCGCTATGCGTCTGTTAAGAATTAACCACTCAAAAAGACGTTTACCATCAACTCTGCAGTTACTCAGTCAAAACAACAATGGACAAATTCATTGGTCAACAATTTTATAAATCAGTTACCAGTTTTCTTTTGATGAAATAATAAAAAAAACATTTCCCTAGTTAATAAATAATAAATTAATCAAAACTGAAAAGGTTCCAAATTTTACCAGAATGTTGCTCGATATTTAAAAATTTTTTAGGACATTTGTTGAGATAAACAAGTAGAGATAATCTCCTTTATGTTGTTCTTTGACAGCTTAAAAACAACCTTATATGCATCTTTGTAATGGCCCAAAGAGAGATGCTGCTGAAGACAAACTTCACCTCCAGCAGCCACCCGTCACATACCATCTGCAGCATGTCCACCTTTACTAGTCTTGCCAGCCATGGACTCTGTCACACCAATTAGAGGAGAGTACCTACACAGAACATTTCCTTTCCCTTTCTCATAAGCTTGTGACCGATTCTCAACAGGCCAGAAAATCTATAGCTTGGCGTTTAGTCGAGGCTTTAAGAGTCGCTGCAGCAGACGTGGCTTTAAGTAAAGAATCCAATAACACCATGTGCAATCAGTGACTTGTCATGTTTTATTACACTAAATCAGCTGAGGGCTGTTACAATCTCCACAAATGTCGCCTAAGCTCTTTGGTTAATAGTAGACATTAAAAAAGGAGCTTTTGAGAAAGGTGAAGGAACCACTCGCTTCCTCTTTTTAGCCATCCTCGTTTTTTTTTTATCGACTTATCCTTTTCTGGATTATTTTTATTTCGTTTTACATTGAACTCAACAGTATTTTTCTATTTTTGCAGTCAGTTTTTTCCTCGGTGAGTGGTCACAAAGAAGAAAGCATTTCATTTTCACCTGCAACGTACACAAAAGAAACGCCCAGGAAAAACACATTTAACATTTTACAAGGATCAACAACAACAAAATGTGCAGAATGATGAAATTGTTTAGTTTCTTTTTTATCAAAAGCAACATAAGATTAAATACAGGTTCTGCCTATTCAACACTTTACCTTTTTGTATAAATACAGCTTCTGAACAGAAACTGTTCATAACTTTCCAACTGTGTTACCTCAATAAGGATCATTTGTGGACATATTGGCTACGTTTTCAAAACAACTGTATATGACTTTCACTATGTTTTTGCCTTCATTCTGCCAGACACAACTTTCTCCACTTTTGTTTTGTCTCTCCACCTTCCCCCCCTTGAGCAAACTTCATCCCGCCATATTAAAAGTGGAAATGTATCCGCTTCTATTGTAATTACAAACCCACTGGAGGCGAGGCTTCTTGATCTCTGCAGGATCCTTGCTTGTTTTTCTTTTTCCGTGCCTTTTCTTGCCGCTCTCAACCAACAGGACACGTTCATGCTGCGATATCAGTTTTGTTTTTCTTCTCCTTTCTTTCTGTAGGACATTTTCACATCTAATAAGCTTGAAATCAAAACAGCATTTAGGGAGGCAATAAAACGACGCAATAAAAAATGAAAGGTTTTTGACTGAAGGAGTTTGTAGAATGAGAGAGAGTCTGCGTCAGCCTGTATGTGAACGGAGGGATTTGTGGTTCATATGCAGCCCAGTATGTTTTGCAAATAGCGTCCCAGTTACATAAAACAAACATTACACACTCAAACACTGAAGCATGTTTTAGCTGCATGGAAGGCTTTACATTGGGGGAAACTTTGGTTTCTGCAGGGTTTAAAAGAGAAGGAATAAAGAAAACCACCATCCATACACTTGCATTTAAACAGGCACATTGAAGCCAGCAGATTTTACACTGGTTTAAGAGCAGAGGGTGAGGAAGAGGGTAAGAGTCTGATGACCCCAAAGTGATCTGCGTCCCAGACCAGTCAGGTTCTACTGTAAGATGCGTGGTTTAGCAGCTTCCCACAAAAACAAAAGCATATTCAGGGCAAACAGAAGAGTGTGTGTGTGTGTGTGTGTTCTTGAGAATGTCGTTCTTGTTTCCAGAATGTCCTGCCGACTGGGAATACTTTCGGGGATTTTTCATCCCTATTCAAGTGATGCTGTTGCTGCATGCAACATGTATTTTCCCAGTTTTACCAAAAGCAGTAATGCTGGGATGCTTTCAAAAACACAACAACCCTTCAGATGAAGAAAACTGAAAAATATTCAAACCATAAACCTTTAGAAGCGATTCACTGAAATGAATTTATGTCAAATATTTGGTTGACAATATGACTGTCTATACTATCCAATAAGAGCCCAGTTTTTTTCTTAAGAATCCGATTTTGTTTATTTTTTTCTCCTTGGCGGTTTCTTGCCTCCTTCAACCATTTCAGACCTACAGTCATGTAGACCTAAATGCATGCCATGATTTAAAAGCTTATAGCGTTAAATACAGCAGTTGTTACTCTTAGTAATTGTTTCCAACGATACAAACGTTTTCTCCTATTAGTTCTGCACAGTTCTATTAAGGTCCTGCCAAAGGAGATTGATCATCCATCTGGAGTTTGAATGGATCATTGCAACACTTTAATACTGTTCTTTTTTATAAGCCCTCATTTTCCCGTTTTACCATCATGAAAAGTGTACATTCGCAATCAATAAAATGTCATTTTTCTGTTTGCAAAATTCACACATGCACACACAAATCTTACATTATGTCCAGGCTATGAAAGACAAAAGAAACAACAAAATGCTGCAACTGAGGTTGTTAGTCTGTACACTTTTAAATCAAAGACAAATTAAGTTGAGTTTCTGTAAGAATCTGTAACTTGAAGTAACTTTAGTCAATCAAATGTCCAGGTGATGGTTGAGAATTACAATGACTTTAAGCCCTTTAGGGGACAGACTGGCAGTGAAAGCAAAAAAGACCAACATTTGCAAAAATCGTGATACATGACAGAGCGCTACAACAATACCAACCACAACCGCAGCATTTATGCCAGTCATGTGAAATTTTATGGTTTTTGTTTGTTTTTGTTTTATTTTTGTGCATGACAGGGACCAAACAGCAGAGATCCTCTTTGACTTTTCCAGTTTTAAAAGTCTGCAGCATTGCAGAGGAATCCGTCTGTTCCACAGCCACAAAATGGAAATATTCTCCTGCTTTCTAGAAACAAAGAATGCTTTCAGGCAACATAACAGGCACGAGTTGTGTAACATGGAGCTAACATACAGCAATGGTTATCGTATCTAAATCCATCGTATCTAAATCCAGTCCAATTTCCCTTCGTGCATGCGAGTGCTTTAGGGAAGTCTCAACATGCAGAGATAAGCAGATGGGAATTAAGGTGGGGCATATTTAAGATGAGATTGTAGTCGTGGAAAGCTGGAAAATTGAGAAACGTGGTGTGAGGGCTTGTAAAAACCATTTATTACAGAAAAAAAAAACAGAGCAATAACGCTCTGTGGTTGTATTCCTCTCCCAAAATGTTTAAGTCACTTTTGGTTTGCTTCCATGTTTTTCATTTGTATTTTTTTTCTTTTTACAAGCAGAAATTCAGAGGATGTCTTTGTGTATAGATGCATAACACTGTAACTCGTGAAATAGAATAATTGTTTTCCTAATGCAACCATGTTTTACTATGGGATGGTGTGTTGAGGGTGAAGGAGTGCTACAAAGGCTCTGGCATAATATGTGTTATATGTAAGCTAAAAAGTTTAAATCTGGCCTCATCTGACCAGCACATCTTCTTCCACATATATGTCCAGTGACCTGTGCATGATTGGTGACAAACTACAAATAGAACTCATTGATTCCTTTATTATATAACAATTTTGTTGCTAGTCTTCCATAAAGGCCCAATTTTTTGCAGATCATGACTAAAGTCAACTTAGTTGACTAATTTTTCCCACCAGAGCTGTGCATCACTCCAGCTCCTCCACAGTTACCACGGGCCTCTTGGTTAATGCTCTGGTTAATACTCTCCGTTCTCCGCATGTCGGTAGACAAACAAGACTTGGGTGGTTCAAAGTAGCGCAAAGCCGTTTCTTTCCTCAGGTGAAGGATTCAACAGATGTTCAAAGATTCAAAGGAAAGGGAGCTAAATTGGCTAAATTGCAATGTCATTTTCAATATTATCCCCCATACCTACTACCTCCCTTTCTGCTTCTGGGGAACACGGAGGGAAATGTTTTTTTCTTCTCCTAAACATTTAGATGGTACTGTGAGGGATTTTGAATCTCACATTATGTGACAAGTCCTTGGAAATCTTATCAATTTCCTAATTTCAAGAACAAGTGTTGAGGAAAAAAAACAAAAAAAAACAACAGTATCAACTCAAAAATATACTGCATGCAAAATTTCTAGTTTGTTCCACTCATGACCAAAACTATGAGCAAAAGGAAACAGGACCAGAAAAGTCAAACCAATCAGACTGTGAAAAAGGAGTAAATTCCTAAGATAATGACAGGCGAAACGGCACAGAAGTGTCTCTGTCTCAATTCGCCTCCTTAAGCATGGTCAGTGCAGGAGACGGATGAAATGAAAACAAATGAAGTAGCAGAAAGGAGGAGGAAAATTAGCAGTCACATGAGAAGACAAGCGAAGGGAGGGGGGAGATAAAAAAAAAAAAAAACTGGAGGGGACTTAAAAGGAAAGCCTGAAACAAAAATGCAGAAAGAAGCCTAAGAAGAATAACAAAAGGTATGCAAGAAGAGTACATTATGTGTGCATACTGAAACAACTTTGCCCTTATAGAAAAAGCCACTAATGGTTACCAGAAAGAGGAAAAATAGAGACAGGCAGGGAAAAGCACTGATGTATTCCTCCAGCAAACAGGCTAAAAGCATTACTCACAGCTGTATGGGCAGTGCAGAAGGAGTAGCTTGTGTGCGTGGAAGGAGTTTGGTGATGTCGATGTTGTTGATTGTGAGGTATATATTGCTGAAGACTTGCGTGAGTGAAGTGGCTGCTCCAGCTTTCTTGACCACCACTGACACCAGAGGCCCAACCGGAGTTGATGGAAGTCATCTTGCTGCTGTGGTACCCTCTCACTGCTGCGCTGGCCTGACGGACCGAGACAGGAAGCTTGCAGAAGAGAAACCAAGAGGGAGAGCAGCAATTAATATTCACATCGGGAAAAATCACCATCACGACAGCGAGCGCGCCTGGTTCTGCAACAGGCAAGCGCTGACAGCTACGTGCACTCTTGGTGACCTGTGTTAGGAGAGAAAGCAGGATGTTGTTTTGATCTGAAATCTCCATGCCAGACCAACAAGATTGTTCTCACACGTTCTTTTCACGCAAGCTCTCTTTTGCTCCCTCCCTCCTCGGTTCTCTTCGGGAGCACCAGATGTTGTGAAACCCCCTTCTGTCACGGTTGAGATGTGTTCTTTCTGCAAAAATGCTGATTGGTTTGATAAAATGCTGGGATTGTGGGCAGGCAACAGGCTTCTCAGTGTGCCATTATGCGCTAGGTATCAACAGGGTTCAGGAAACACGGGGCTGAAGCTGCTGACACTCTTGACTTAAATTGCTGTGAGATGGGCTCACCGTGGCTGTCATGTCCACTGGAGCACGGAAAAAAAATAAAAATATGGGACACACATGCACACACTGATTAAAGGTATTTTAACAAAACCTTGTGCAGAAATCTTAGTATTTGCAAAAACTGTATTTGTTTACTCTGCAAAACATTTTACAACAGCATGTATTACTGCATTAAGTGTTACATAGAGCTATTTTAGATTATTTTTGGTAAAACAAATGAAAGCACTATTGAATATTTATGCTTCGTATGAACAGATATCACTTTAATTCACGTTAAGTAGTAGATGCTGCAGTTAATATTCTATAAAAAACAGTTTGCAAACAAAAGAACTTAAAGCTTCCTCGTTCTTGTATTCATCACAAAGATGAATTAAAGACACAGAGGGCAACTTTAGATCTACTTTGTGGGTTTTAGAGACATCTAATGGCTCAAACAGCAAATCAGTTGAATGGGGCTGCATTTTAAACCCCAACAATGTAAACATCACATAATTTAATGACTTGTGTTTTAGGTTTCTACTGCAGAGCTCCTTCCAACAGCTGTGTGACGGAGTATGTCACATGGCAGAGAAAGTTAGAACGCTGTACAATATAGTGTCTCTTATTGTGATGCAAAACAAGAAAAAACAATGGTGACTAATTTGAAAAATTATTATTTTAATACCTTTCAAATTCAGCCTAAAGTCAGTAAGTTTGACGATACGTCTCAAGCTATATTTAAACCAAAATACTTTGATTTTGAAATTTAGATGTTTTTTTCTAGTAATAGGGAACAAAATGTTGGTACAACTAAAATATGTTAGAGCCCAATTTGTCAGTTATGAATAATTGTAGGCATAATTACTTTCACTTTTACAAGACCCCCATACACAAAGCATCCTGTGATTGTTAAAAATTAACTGGGTTTTACCCAGTTTGCTAAACCCAAAACTTAATGGTTTAGTAAACTGGCAAAAAAAAAAATTAAAAATACATAAATAAATTCATATACACATTCACCAGCAACAGCAGTCAGAAGGAGAGTATAGTTAGTGACTCTGATTTTGATTAATGCACTGATCAGGATGGGGTCCTGATTGATAATGTCTTCCTGCGAGTAATGTGAGCCAGGGGAGATCCGAGAACTGTGAAGAGTGCTAAACTATCTACAGCATCCAAAAATCAGCTCTAAGAAACAGCCAAGACCTGATCTGATCAATACACCATCCTTCAGTCGACCATGGAGACCACACTTTCAACTAATAAGAATTTAAGAATCACTTTATTGGTGAAAACTACACTTTTCTTGTGTAAATAGTGTCATTTTTAGTATTCGATTCAACTGCAGAAATTGCAGCATGCTAAGTAAAAGTATAGTTGTAATAGATTGCTTTATTTTTTTTTTTCTTATTTGCATTTACTCAAACAATGGAGTCAAATTATACATTATTTGAACATTCAACAACTGCACATGATCTAGAACTACAAGTGAACATTACATCCAGAGCAAACACAAATAACTTTGAATTAAGTACAGCTGTATATCACCATTTACTTCTAACTAGTGATGTACAGTTGATGGTAGCCTTTGCTAGATTTTCACTGAGGTCAAAGGTTATCCCACACATGAGTTAAAGAAAAGCTAAGGCAGTAAAACAAATCCACAGCTGTGCTTACAAAAGCTTTCCAGGCCCATATTCTTCATCACTTATGACCCATAGGGAAAAATGTAAGGGCTAGCGTTGCATAATAAGTAAAATATATAACGACAGGTTTAGGGTTCATGTTAATATAACACAGGACAAGTCTGCTTCCCATAAAGCAGCGCAAACCAATTTACCACATAGAATCTATGGTTAAAAAGGAGTCCCAGTGGCATAATAAAGAAAACATAAAATGTGAGGAGAAGAACAACAATGTGTGAGGAACCGGTTTAAAATAGGAAATATCAGCCTAAAGACAAAAAATGAGAAGGTGAACATTTCATCTGCTTTTAACACAATCAAAGGCTCAGTCATAGGGTCAAATTTGAGAACTGTGTGGGAAGGAAGGACACATCATCATTTTAAGCTCGATCCCACTGAATCAGGTTACCGAGAGCTGCAAAGGCATTTACACATTCAGACACTGCTACTGTAAAAGCCAGAGGGGAAGGATAGCCTTGAGTATGGTACATTAAGCTGCATGGTCAAATACGCTTTTTAACGCAACTATTCACCAGTTCATAGAGTTTAAGTGCTGCCTCTAGTCATGCAACAACCTCCAGTGGCCTTATAAATGGGGATCATTCAGCCAAAGAGGAGGTATTTCAGACTAATGCACACACTGTATGCAGAGGTATTTTGTTGAAGACTCTATCCCAAGGCAGCACTAAATTATAAAAAAATGTTTCATATGCCCAAGTTGCACAGAAAAAAAGAGGGGGGGGGGGGGTCATTGGTGAAACTGGTTTAAGGCTGCATGGTTTATATTCAGCCTTTAAATCACAGGGCAGGATGATGCTTTTACACTACACTGAGATCTGACGGTCTCAACATTCCTCTACCAGAATGCATGATTGGTCCCCAGACTGAAATTCATGTCACAGACTTTCAACACCTCATCAGAGAGCTGCAGTCGCTCCATACATCTCTGGCTTATAAAAGGATATGGTTACACTTGCTATTTTTTGCTTTAAGGGGGAATGTTTTACATATCAGGCAAACAGATGCATGTGTGCCTGTGCTTCAGTGTGCACTTATGTATTGCTTGTGACAGTAACTTCATTTTCAGTCTGTCCCTCTTACTGGCAGCCCATGCCCTCGAAGGATACACAGTAACCTAATAAAAATCATATTCTGCAACACTTAGACAGGCAGAGGTTTTCCAGGACTGTATAGTTTGTCAAAACCAACCTGAAATTATCAGTGTTTTGTTTTTTTGTTGTTACACATCAAAATGACAGAATGCTTTACACACATGATGCTCAAAAAACAAACAAAAAAATCTCTTATGTGTGCACTCTGTGACCAATTCAATCATCAGAACTGAACAAGATTTTCTTCAACTTTTTTTTTTTTGATGCAATACTTAAGTTTTATAAACGAAAACCATCTAGTGAATCTCTTCAAAATCATGGATGATGTTTGTGGTAAAGGAACATTTTTAATACTCGGGTGAAAAACAAATGCCCACAGCATATAGCATGGGAATCCTAGGTTCAAATCTTGGGTGTTTGTTAAAATTTATTCACCCTGTGCATGATTGTATATTTTATTTTTTTTTTGTTTGGTCTGGTTTCCTTCTATAGTGGAAATAATTGCATCTTCAGCTAGTTAAAATCCTCTAGGTGTGCGAGTGTGTGTATGGCGATCTCTGTTATTCATGTTGCACCCTGTGATCGACTGTCCAGGGTCGGCGACCACCACCTACAACAAGAATAGATTTTTAAATTTTATACACAAAAAGATCTAAACACAAGGAAACATTTGCAGTGACACTGAGCAATAATATTTTGAGGTATGCAAGGTAAAAAAAAAAAAAAAAAAAAAAAAAAAAAATGTGGGTTTTGTTCAAATAATGCTGCCCAATGCTCTGATGGATATTATTAGCACACACAGAGAGAAAGCTCAAAAGCATAATATGATCGCTGGAAAAACGTGGACCTTATCTAAAAATCACAAAATATTTTAAATGATGTCTAGAATTAAAATCAAAAGTGCACAGAAAGAACTCATGAGAACTGGCCACAAAACCTGTAGGCGACACATCTCTTATAAAACTGCTATTTGGTTCAATGTGCATGTAAAAATTGAAATTCAGTGCCAGTTGTAAGGGAAAATGTTGAATAATGCTTCACCCACAGCACATTGCGACTCTATTAACACGCTGAGGAGAACCAGAGCATGGCAGCTCTCCCGAGTCCATTTGTCTGTGTTTAAGTGATTTTCTCCCATCTCTCCTCTCCCTCTGGTGACACATGCATAGTTAGGGCTGTCATAGAATGGCTCTCTGTATACCGCAGTGCACTTCTGCATAGGGGATACAATGCAGATTTAAAAATAAATCTGACCTGGTCGTCACAAATGCAATAGCAATGGCAGATAGAAGCTCCTGAAGGAGTCCTTTGAAAATATCACATTTTTGAATTCAGAAATCTTACCTTGAGAAAATCACATAATATGATCACTGATCAAGTTGGAATGAAACCTTCCCACTGTTAAATAATATAGTTAAAAAAAAAAATCTTGCTTTCTATTAATTTTATTCCCAGAACCCCCGCCTCCAAAAGCAGCTCCTTCAGACTAGCCAGCAGCAGTTAGCAAACACTTAGTGGAACTTTACATGGCTACTTCTCAGTGCAACGCTGGTAAAAACGCCATTTAAGGGTTAATAGTGGAGTGATGCTGTGATGACTTCCTGAAGGCAGAGTGTCAGAA